AGCGCATACCCTGGGATCCAGCTTGCCATTGCAAGGCACTTCTGATAATCAGTGGCTCAGGATAAGAATGAGTGAATGGGACTTAGTCCACCCCACCCTCTCTCTCCCCGGGTATTTGGTACTGGCTTTGTTTGCGTTGGGCTTTTCTCTTTGTGTTTGTGTTTGTTGGGGCAGGGAAGGGGGAAGGCCTTGTTTGTGTTTGGCTAGATACTCTTTTGAGTTGTTTGTCTTAGGCACCTCACCTCCCTCTGTGCAGATAGGGTGGGGAGGGAAGGGTTACTCAACCACACACTTTCCTCTCTCTGTTCCCATGTCCTCTAGCAGTGCCCCCTGGTGTCACTTAAACAAGAAAGCTGCTCTTCCTAAGACCCGAAACTTCATGTCTTCAGTTGAACAGTGGAGCCACTGGCCTTGGTGTCCTCCCTGCACTGGGGTTTCCTGGCCCTTGGCTTTGTCTGTGCTAGCTGCTCCTTCCTTGGTCAACCTGGAAGGCTCCATTTCAGATGGCAGAGGCATGATGCTGATTTTCATGCACTCTGGAGATGAGGGAGCTCAAATATAGTGGTGGTCGGGCCTAGTGCTGTAGGCCTGTAATCCCGAACTAAAGAGGCAGCGACAAGATCACAGTTAAGAACAGTGCAGGCTGGAGTGCATTCAAGGCCACAATGAGATGCTATCTCCACATAAAAAGTAGATATGGGTTCACGATACATTCCAGGGTAGGGTGAGTGAGTCAGTCTTGGGGGGTGGTTACTGGTCTTCTGTATGCTGAGTGTTTCACGTACTGGAGGTAGAGCGAGGTAAACTTTTGTGTTTACAAAAAAGAGATCATGAGATACATTGACCCTGTCTACCAGTGATGAGTGTTAGGAAAGAAGACACTGGGGGCAGTGAGAAGCAACTGGAGCTGGGCTGGGGCTGGGTGCTGCTTGGTGAAAGGAATGCTTCCTATCTACAGTGTCATTTTACTGAAATTAGGTGACCCACGAGATGGGCAAAAAGATGGGAAAGCCCAGGAGGAGTAGGCTGGAAGGCATGGAAGGAGAGTGGTTCTGGGATGGAGTAGGATCATGTGGGCCTGACATCCATGATGAGAGCTCTCTGCATTCCATTCCATCATGAATGACACCCTCATCCCCCAAATGTGTGCAGGTTGCAGCACAGAGACATGGTGACCCTGGTGTCAGGATTATTCTGGTTACCATGTTAAAAAGCCTAGGCAGGTGTGAGGGTACAAAGGAGATGCATTAGGAAGCTTGAAAGGTAGTTACAAGTTGGTGAGGGGTGATAGGTACCACACTGATGTATGACCAGGCCAGCCAATCAGAATTTAAGTTTGGGGTCAGATGCCTTGTCTCTTATACGTTCTGTGATGAACAGGACAGGTCTATCCAGTAAGGGAAGAACCTGACATCAGAGATGGGTATTATAAGCTCTATGATCCAGAATGTTATCTTCGCTTCTCACAGTTGGTTAGGAAATGGTGGCTAAGATGTTGGGAGCGTAATCTGCCTGGGATGAGGCCACTTATACTTGAGTTTGCAAGGTGATTATCTTCAATGCTTCTCTAGGAAGTAGCTTAGTAGATATAATTGTATTTAAAAAGGTATAGTAGCTGGTAGAGAAAGCCCAAAGTAGTGTGTCAGGCCAAGGGGCTCCGTGGGCTTTTCTTACTCCCTCCTTGAGTTGTGACTGTCACCTGGTTGGCTGACTCCGCTTACTGAAGCATATGGAGGACACATGCCACTAATGGAGTGATAGGGGACCTTCCTGGGTAATCACAACATGCTTCAACTCCAGAGAAAGAACCAGGCCAGCACCTCAAACCTACTCTCCACCCAGGTCAAGGGAGGTGTTTTTTTTTTTTTTTTTTTTTGCCACTGGAAGCCCCTTGACCTGTTTCCTGTGGGGTTCTGCATGCTCATGCTCATGCCTGCCTTATCCCTTGAAGGGTACTGGGGAGTAGGAGGGAGGGACACAGAAGGAAAGGGAGACAGGGCATCAGAGGACTGGGATCCTGGTATTGGCAGAAATCAGTGGAGCAAGTGTTCATGATGTGAAGGCCAGTAAGCAGAAAGGCTCTAATCTGTTCCAAGCATTCCACTGGGCAAAGATGTACAGGGGCCCAGTTATTTCTTAGCAGAGCCAGCAAGAGATGAGACTGATGGACAGTGGAATACAGAAGAAAGAAGCCATGAGAGGTTGCATAGCCTTGCACAGGGTCATAGCACACAGTACCACAGAGCTCCACACTCTTGCTTCTGGCTGTCAACACCAGCGTCTGGGATCCCTAACATGTATTTAAAGTACTATAAAGAAGGTATTGCTGGGGCTGGAGAGATGACTCAGCAGTTAAGAGCATGTACTCCTGGGAAGTGGACCCAACTTCAATTTCCAGCACCAATATTGGGCACTTCAGCATCATCTTTAACTCAAGCTCTGGGGTATCTGATGCCCTCTTAAGACTCTGGAGGAAACTGGACTCATGTGCATATATCCACGTACAGATAAACAGATATATATATATATAATTAAAAATAAAAAAATCTTTAATAACAGCCATTTCTATTGGGTATTAGGGCCCATTTTTATGTTTGAAAAGAAAAACTGGCTCAGGAGAAATGGCATCCTCTCATGGCTAAAGTCTTTCAAAGACAGACATCAGTGTGTGTGTGTGTGTGTGTGTGTGTGTGTGTGTGTATGTGTGTGTGTATGTGTGTGTGTGTGTATGGTGTATGAGAGAGAGAACACATAAGATGGTGCCCTGTGGAGGCCAGAGAACAGCCTCAGGTGTTGGCCACACCTCCCACCCTGTAGTTGACCACTGTGTGTGCCAGGCTAGCTGGCCTGCAAGCTTCTGGGGTTCTCCTGCATCTGAGCCTCATCTCACACTAACACTGCTTTACATAGATTCTGGGGAATTCAAACTAAAGTCTTCATGCTTGTGTGCCAGGATACACGTTACCCACAGAACCATCCCTCTTGTCTGAAAATTGGTTTTACTCTTCACAGATGGGCTTATTAAAACAACAGGAAGTTGTCAGATTTTTCTCAAAGCAATATAGAAGCATGGGAGAGATGGTTCCATGGTTATTAGCATATCTGCTCTTCCAGCTTTAGGGATCTGAAGCTGTCCTCTGGTGTCCTCAGGCAGCCAGACACATCACACACACACACACACACACACACACACACACACACTCTCTCTCTCTCTCTCTCTCTCTCTCTCTCTCTCTCTCATTCTCTCTCTCTCTCTCTCTCTCTCTCTCTCTCTCACTCTCTCTCATACACACACACACACACACACACACACACACACACACACACATAAAATACATTATAAATTCTGCTCAGCCTACAACGGGATTGTGCCTCAGTAAAATCATCCTAAATAAACTGAAAATGCAGTAAACGTACGGGGTCCCCTACCTATTGCTTGTGACAATACCACAGGAACAGCAGTGTCTGTATTTCTCCACAGGCCTGTGCTGACTTGAGAGTCACAGCTTGCTGCCACTACCCAGCATCCTAAAAAAGCATCTGGCAGCCCTGGACAGGCTCAAGATTCAAACTTCCCTGTAAGTTTCTCTCGTGTGCACTGTTTCCAGACTGCAGAGAAGATCCAAATCCACCTTCTCCACCATGTCAGAGTTTTCATAGATGCTACAAGTCCTTCCATACTGGGTAGCACCTGCATGTAGCCAGCACCACACATTACAGCTCACTCTGTGGCCCCAGGACTAGGGGGTGTCAATACAGGAAGGTTCTAGACCTAGAAAGGTAGGGCAACACTTGCTCACATAAGCCCAGCCTTTTGGGTTTTAGTCTGAGTCCCCAAGCCCTCACTGTTCATGTTCCCCTAGACTCTAAGAGGTCTCTAGTGAGTAGGAATCTTAGGACACTGTTCTGCAGAGCATCTGAAAGCACAGTGCCCAGGAAGACGGGTCAGGCACGAACCCTGATGTCTGTGGGAGCCATGGTGTCTGGTGAGCGGGGCCACCTTGAACACAGGGAGTCCTCAGGGATGTTTGCCAACAGCCTGGTGTGGGGTTCTACATGGAAGATGGCTGTGGAAAACACTGGAGAATACAAGAGGTCTGGGTGTTAAGAAGTCTAGTTATACCTCAGGGATGTCCTGAGTAGGAAGACAGGATGGAGAGGCCCTATGGAAGATTAACAATAGAAGACAGCTGGCAGAGACTGGATGGCTTGGAGAAGATGCTAGGCGTGAAGATATACATTAGCATCCCAGAACTGTAAGAACTGTGACTGAGACAGCCCAGTGAAGGAAGGTGTGTTTGGCTCGGGGTGTTGGAGTCCTCAGGTTATGTAAAGGCATCGAGTCCTGAGGAGAGTATGCAGCAGATGAACACTTCTACCTTATGTTCAGGAAAGTGACTGACAGGAAGGTACTGGGGTCCTATCACCCCTTCAAGGGCTCCCAAAGGTCAGAAGACATCCTACCAGGCCCTGTGTCTTAGACGCTCCATCACCCCCATGCTACAGTCTGGATATCAGGTAGTTATGGTCTTTGGTGACATTTTAGATCCAAATAATAATGGTAGCAGTTAACAGATAAAGATAATGTGGACCATACCTACAGTAGAACAGTCATGTAAGAACAGTGAAAGTTCATCATCTGCAACAGAGTATGGAGAGAAGGGCGGTGGGTGGGTGGATGTGGGGGTGAGGAGCTTCTGCTGAGTGAGGTATGCCAGGCTTAGAAAGACCAACATCATGCAATCTCATTTCTATGTGTGCTCTGCCCTGTGGCTGTGGTTGGTGTTATGTAACTGCAATCCCAGCACATGGGAGGCAGACACATATCAGAGGTACAGGGGCATTCCTGGGCTACATGAGATCCTGTCTCAAAACCACTATCACAACCAAACCAAACCAAACCAAACCAAAGGAAAATAAAAACTGTTTAAACACAAAATTGGAGGGTGACTGGCTGGCTGAGGCTGAGGAGTTAAGGGAGACGATGGCTAGACAGGGAGGGAGGTGGGAGGGGCATTATTTATTTATTTTTAAAACACTGTAGTGTGTGGTAAATACAGTAAAAAATAACACATTATACATTTCAAAACCCACTGAACTTTAGATATCATCATCAGAGTGATGCCCACTTGAGACAACAGTTATGCTATGACCCTGCTATGTGGATTCAAAAATCACACCACTCTGTGTTCTATAAATAGATACAAGTATAATTTGTCAATTTAGAGTTAGGAAAAATGAAAAAAGGAAATACAGACGAGCTGTAGCTGGCAGCTAGCTCCTGGAGGGATCAGGTGCTGAATCTGTGGGGCTTGGGATGACTGGGTGACACAGGACACACGCTCCTGTTTTTAACTGTTTTATTGCAGGAGGAGGAAAATCAACACACTTTACAGATTTCAAAGCTGCAACAAGTCCTAGCTGCCCTTTGCAGACATCCCCATTGCCTGTCCCTACAGGACACAGCCAGGAGGGAATGTCACAACAGGTAGAGAGAGGTACCAGGCCCCTGTCTGCAGGCACTCTAGACACCATCCCGTCCCCCTCCCCCTTCCCTGTGGTGCTTGAGTTCAAACCCTGAGCCCAGAGCTAAGTAAGTGCTCTTCCTTTGGGCCACAGCTCAAGCCTTCCTTCCACATTTTGAGAGAACAGTCCACATTCAAGAACTGTTTTTCACGTGGCTTAAACCCCTTGAGGGAATCCCGACCAGGACACAGCATCCCGGGAAATCAAGGAACTCAAACACTGCAAGCTCCACAATTTTAAGGCAACATTCCTCTCTGTGGACCTGGGGGAGCATACAACAGGCTGAAGAGGTACCTGCATTTTGTTATCAGAGGCCATGAAGTCCCAGAACTGGACCCATGGACACTAGGAGCCCGGCTGGCCCTCTCTGAACACCACTGGGCACAGAGGCCAACTTCTGGACTCAGGAGGCAGCAGTGTGGAAATGTGGTTTGCATGAAAGGGATAAGTGGGCACAAAAGGGCTGCTGAGTTCACCCTCTCTCCTGGATTATGCTGAGGGACGCCCTTCCAAAAAGAAATGCTCAGACCATGCCTGAGAGAATGACGAACACGCGGTGTGTTTCCTGGGGTTTCTGAAGTCCTGGTATGGGGTGGGACTGAAAGTGACGATGTGTGCTGCCAGTGCAGCCTGGGATTCTGCAGGCGACCATTTGGAACCCTCACTCCCAGTGAGTAGCCCAGGCTGGGTGTTGTGTTACTTGAGGGAATATGCGGTTGAGAACACTGCTGGGGTAGAGAAAGCTAGTGAGGCCCCATCTCCCTGGCAGATAAGGGGTGCTGCAGCCACAGTATACATTCTTCTAAGGCAGTGTGTGGGAGTTTCAGGATGTGGAACTAGAGTCACAAGCACTCGCCTGTTTGAGCAATGACCACGGTGGCCTCCAGGTGGTGAGTGTGAGTGTGTGTGCGTGTGCGTGTGTGCGTGTCGGGGGCTGGGGTGGGGATGGGAGAGGAGGATGTACATCATGTGGTGAGAGAACACAGGGCTGGAGGGAAAGATGCATAAAGACCTTCGAGGAGAAGAAATACTCTTTTTTTTTTGTACTGACCCCGTCTGCTAGTCCCTTTCCCATTTGGGAAGCAGGTTGGATATTAACATTAAAAGGACTGTAAGTGACAACACAGCACCAGATGATCTGCCACCAGCAATTCTCCTTTTGTCAGATTCACCAAAATCCGCTTCCTGCTGGCCTAGGGCAGTGCTGTACGTGTCTGCTCTCGTGTCTGCTCTCGTGTTCCCCACAGAGTGGCTAGCTTTCAGCTTGGAGCCTCTCCCTTGTCCCCCTCCTGGCCAGGCCGCTGCTTACAGGTGAGCATGAGCAGCAGCAGCAGCGGCAGGTGCCACAGGCTGCAGAAGAACAGTTTCCTTGAGCTCCTGCGGTCTGCGTCCACATAGAAGCGCAAGCCGAGGTAGGAAATGTACAGGTTGATGGGGAGGGAGATGACAGGGAAGACCCACGTGGTGATGTCCAAGACAGGGGCAGCAGTTGACAGAGCAATCAGGGCCAGGCAGTGGCGCAGTGCCACCCGCCGGCAGAGGGCTGGGTGGGTGACGGACATCATGCAGTAGCCTCCTCGGGAGTAGTCTTCGCGGAGGCCCCAGCTCAGGGCATTGAAGTGGGGGAACTGCCAGGAGTAGAGGATCCCTCCCAGAAGAAGTGCTCCTGTGAGGAGGTGTGGGGAGAAGAGGAAACAGTTAGGTGCCAGTGGACATCTCCTAAGCAAGGCTCTCACAGCCTCAAAGTGAACTTGGGAGGCCTGTGCCAGGTGACCAGCAATCTATCTCAGCCCTTATGTCTTATTGTACTTTCTATTGCTGTAATAAACACCATGACCAAAGACACATTGGGAAAAGTTTGTTTCTGCTTACAACTCTCAGGTTAGAGGTTGCAGCAGGAACACAAGGAGGAACCTGGAGGTGGGAACTGAGAGACCATGGAGGAACAAACATTTAGTGCTTAGAAGTGACTTTCCATGGCTTGCTCAGCCTGTTTTCTTATATAACCCAGGACCACCTGACCAGAGGTGGTACTGTACTCAAAGGGCTGGGCCTTACCATAGTAATTAATAAATAATAATAATAATGATAATAACAACAACAACAGCAACAATAATAATGTCCCAACAGTACTGTCTACAGTCCAGGCATTTTCTCAGTTGTGGTTCCTCCTTCCAGATTATTCCAGCATGCCTAGTAGTACGCTTCCCACAGGAGGGAGTCCCAAGGGAGAGGCTTGTTGGAAATAATGAGAGAGGCACTTTCTAGTTCATTAAGAGTCTTGGTACCCGTTTCAGTGACAAACATAGGACACTTATCTTAACATGGAGTCCTCTTGGGAATTGGAAGGCAGGCAGGGAAGGCTGGAACAGCTGAAGGAGCAAATGGTAGTGACGGAGACTTCATGTTTTGATGGGAAAATACAGCTAACTCTGAGACTGTCAGGTGGTGGAGTTTCTCAGGGCACAGAGTGGTCTTAAGACCCCCCCCCCCCAGCTTCACATTTGGGGAAGCCCTAGTAGACCCTCTTGGACCCTCAGGCCTTGGGCTGAGTATGGTATACAGTAATGACAGCCATAGTATGGAGTGGGGTTATGACAAGGGCAGAAGTGTCTTGTCAAGTAGAACTCATTGTGGCAACGGAACCAGGGCATGGGTGAGGGGAGACAGGAGGGCCCAGAGGAGGGATGGAAGCCTCAGAGCTCTAGGTGGGTTTTATTCTAGAAATGACCAAGAAAGAACAAACTTCAAACGGTTTGAACAGCAGCAGTGAACAGAAGCAGTGGGGACTTCCTCCGCTCTGCTCCTCACTGTCCCCTCAGCCTCTGGCGTGCCAACTGCAGTAGTCTGTGTTGTGCAACTGAGAGTTTTGGCTGTGCTTCTGCTTAGAACAAGAGAGCTCAGACAGAAGCTCAGCTCGGGAAGAGCAGCAAGCTGCTGTTTTTGAGAGGAAGCTGGTATGGGTTTGGCTCATGTCACAAATGGAATCGCTTTAGGATCCACAGCTTAATGGACCGCAGTCAGAAAACCACCCACAGCTCTGCCTGATGCGCTTCACCTGCTTCTGCTCACAGAGGAGAAGGGAAACAAACCACTTTCTTCATCAAGATAAGGTGAGTTGGGGCAGGAAGGCCTGAGTCAGCTCAGGGCTGCGGTGGGGCCTACCTTCTCAGTGGGACGGACAAAGTGCTCTGCACACCCCTTCAGCCTCACTCCTCCAAGAAGCCCATTTTTATTGGGCCCGCCTGTCTTCCCTGACAGCAGATACCAACTGCCTGCCAGAGGACACGGTCTGTTTTGGGGGGCAGGCAGGGGGAAGGGGGGCTAATGTTTCTCTCCTGGGCTCTGGCAGGAAAGGAGACAACACAAATGGAGTTACAGTCTGTGGGAAGTAATGCCTTAGGGACAGACAGGACTTGCAGCCATTGAGAGAAGGCACCTCCCTTGGCCTGGGGAGTGAGGGATGGCCCCTGCAAGAAGCACATTACAGGGCGAGCTGCCACCTACACATTCATGAAGTCTTTGTTCTCTTCTTTTCTTTCCTTTTCATCTTTACATTTTTAGAGACTGCCTCTCATTCTTAGGCCAGTTTGGGCTGGAATTCTCTATGTAGCCCAGGGTGGCCTCAGACTTACAATCCTCCTGCCTTAGACTCCTGAGTGCCAGGATCACACTACATGACACTACACCCAGCTTCTGCTTCTTTTAAATAAGCTTTCTCATTTTCTTAGACCTACCTGGGAGAAACATCAGCTTTCCTTTCCTTTAATCACAGTAGCAATCTACGGAACAGCTGTGCATCTGTGGGAGTGGGTCTTAGGACAGTGACATTCCGAGGCTGTGCTGCTCAGTGACGGCTACACCAGATCACATGCAGTACCCAGCACATAAGCACCCTTGCTTATGTGAGAGACAGAGAAGTGCATCCACAGTGCATGTGTGAACACCAGAGAGAATGCTGGCCCAACCAGAGTCCTGCTCTCAGTGCTGTCTTCCTAATGACACTTGGGGAGATTTTTCAGTTCTCTTTAAAACTATTTATTATGACTACAAGAAACAGATGTTGGGGGGGGTCCCCTCATTTCCACCTCTGCCCAAGTCCAGAGCGCTTTTCTATCACTATTGACAAAGGAAGCTCAGCGATTCAGCCACACAGTGCCTTCCCAGAAGGGTGAGGACCCTAAAGTAGGAGCACTAACCCTGGGCAAGTACTCTCGCCAAGATAATTCCTTTGGGGATGCCTGGTGGGTACCTACTACCCTCCCTGAAGCCCATCCACTAGCACTCAGCATCCACACATGGCCTTAGTAAGGATAAAAACCCTACTGCAGTGATAGCTGGGGTTGGGTTTGGTTCAGCAGGCTCCTCTCTAAATGTGGCCCACGAAGCTCATCTGCTCCATGGCTGGTCACACTTGTGCTTCAGTGTTGGACAGCTGAGGAAGCTGGTGGAAGCAGAGCTGTCCCAAAGCTCCAGGGTCACAGGCCTTAAAGCTGGTTTTTTTTTTTTTTTTTTTTTGAGGACTAACATGTGTGGTCAGCCTCAGTGCAATAGGCTTCTATGGAGAGACAGATAAAGGGAGCAGGAAGTGGGCCAGTTTATCAACCACACAGGAGAGACAAAAGGCCACATTACAAGTCCTCTGGAAACAGGAACACCAGTGGGCATTGCCAACTTGTAGAATTCTTTGCAAGGGACTTGGGAATAATGAAGAAGATGTGTGGCAGGTGCTTGGGGTTCTCTCTACTTTGGGGTGCTTTTTCTACTTTCCATCACAGGCTTTGGAGAAGCTGCATTTGAAGGGTAAGAAGTACAAAGCTCTGACTCTTCTCTAGCCACCTCCCTAGAAGTCTGAGGCCTCCACAAATTCTTTCCAGAAGTCAAATTCCCCTTGGGTCACATCAAAGTCCTTATCCTCATCCTCCAATGTTACCTGGCATCAATAGTGCTAATCCTGAGGTGTTCTGTACTAGGCACTGTGTGCAGCTGAGGCTGTCCAGCCAAAGCCTGCTCTATCACCTCACCCAGGAGGCACTGGCTTGGCACCCTTGGAGCTAGAACCAGTTCCAGCCAGCAGTGAGATCAACAAGAACTGAACAAATGCAGCTTGTCTGCAATGACACTAGCAGCAGCACACTTCTAGCCACTTTCTTTCAGACCTTTTCTGTTCTGATGTCGGACACTGGGTAAAACATAGGGTTCTAAATATCCTTTGCTAATAAAGTCAGACTTCTTAAAATTTTGTCTTTGAATTACAAAGATAGGGTTTATTGATAGTTGTGGTGGTATGGGCCTTTAATCCCAGCACTCAAGAGAGAGGCAGGCAGATCTCTGGAAGTTCAAAGCCAGCTTTGTCTGTACAGTGAGACTCTATCCTGTCCCACCCTCACCAACCCCACAAAAGAAGGAAAAAGAGATGCTGTTTGTCTTAGTTAAGTCCTGCTCCAGGCCAGTTAAGGTAACATCTCAGGAACAGACACTATTTCGTCTGTCTGAGTCAAGTGGAGGCAAGATTTTAAAGGAAATCTTTTCAAATGCTTGGGTTCGACAGTGCCGGGTATTTAGTAAGCCTTTCATAAATATTTGTGGAATAAATGAGTGAAGGAATCCCCTCTGGCTCTCTTCTCTCATCTGGGACTCTGGAGGTAAATAACGTGGAAAGCAGTTAGGGTTTGCAGTTTACCAGCCGAGGTTAAAACAACCCACTCTTTTTTTGTTACTAAAGCCATCCATCTGCCAAGTGTCACCCCCTGATAAGAGCCCATTTCTGAGTCCTCATTTGTAACTCAATGCTGGCTGACATAATTAATGTTTACCACACAGCACCTGAATTACAACCAGACTAACAATCAACTCTAAAAGACTCTTACCATCTTCACCATGAAGGAGGCTCAAAAAAGACTCTTTAAAACAAGGGGTTTCTCTAGACTTAGGAAAAGACAACACAGACTCCCAGCATCTCCAAGAAATGAGGTGATGCTGGGAGGTGGCTTTGGAGAGGAGGAGGGAAAGGGGAAGAGAGCAAGCCTCAGATAAACAGTCTCTGAAGATAAACACTGCTGAGAAGCCTAATTCGTATGGCTCCAGGCTGCTTACTGGGGGCTGGGATGTCAGCTGCCAGCCACTTATCTGACTAGGCCCCCAAGGGACTTCTTCACTGGGGTTCCAGCAGGTCACTTCTGCCATTGCCATTACTGCTCCCCAAACCAAGTGCTCTTGGGACTGCAGGTTAGCCTGGTCAGCGGCTGGAGACTGCCTTCCTGAGTTCTATCTACCCACAGAGCATTTTAATGTTTCCTGCTTTAAAAAAATGAATAAAATAAAGGCAGGATGACTGGGTACGTGGGAGGAAAAGGACACGTCTGAAGCCGAGGAAAGTGGGCACAGGTAAAATCTCATCATAACGGCTCACTCTGAAGACAGAAGGGCTTTGTAAAAGGCAGGCACTCCTACTCCACCACCCCCACCCCACAGAAGCAGTTGGCTGCCGCACCCTGACTGCCTTGATATGACAGCCACAAACAAAGCCTTTGGCTGTATGGCTGGGAGAGAGCTGAGTGGTTTCCAGTCCTCCATGCAGCTATAAAATAGCAAGTATCAAGAACAACTGACATTTGTTTAGCTTCCACGATTCTCGCCTGCTAATGTGCTTAATCCTCTTCATCACCCCCAAATCCCACCTCACTTGTCCTGTGATGGACAACAGCCCAGCCCAGGCAGATCTGAAGCTGCCAGGGCCTTCCCAACCTCAGTACCCTCAACACAAATTCTTTTCCACCAT